GTGCCTTCCACCTTTTTCAGTGCCCCCCTCACACCACTACATCTCTTATGCACCCATTTCTGACATCCTATACACAATACCGAGTTAGCCTTCACTCTCCTATCACATACCCCACAGGGGTCTATTTTACTTATCACTCGTTCCCCACCTTCCCCACTCACCATTACCTTCGTCTTACCAATATTAACTTTTAACCCTTTCTTTTCAATAACACTTTTCCATCTGTCAAATTTTAACTGCTATTCTTCCATGCTATCAGCCATCAAGACTAAATCATCTGCATACAAAATCTCAAATAACAACCCCTCCATTATGTTTCCACACACAACATCCATCACAATTGCAAACAGAAACGGTGATAACACTGATCCTTGATGCACTCCTACCTTAACACTAAAAGCGTCCGACATCCCCCTTCCAACCCTCACCTTTGTCTTTGCCCCTTCATACAGCTGCATCACAGCTTTAACAAGTTTCTCATTCACTCCTTTCTTCCTCAACGCCCATTCAATGACCTTCCTCGGTACTCGATCAAAAGCCTTTTCTAGATCCACAAAACACATGTACAATCTTCGTTTCTTCTTTCTATAATTCTCCTGCAACATTCTCGCCATGAACAACGCATCCACCGTTCGCCTACCAGGCATAAACCCACACTGCATTTCATTAACTGTCACCATACTTCTCAACCTCCTCTCAAGCACCCTCTCCACTACCTTCATTCCGTGCTCTAGTAATTTCACACCCCTGTATGACCCACAATCTCTCACATCTCCTTTGCCCTTATACAACGGCACCAACACACTGTGCCGCCAATCCTCAGGTATACCTTCATCATCAAACATACTGTTAGCAATTCTAAATTAATAGTTTTATGTTTTCACGAATGGATAGATTTATGAATGAACTGGGTGAATGGCTGATTAAATGAATGAATCCATGATTGATAAAATGAATGAATGAGTGAATGAATGAATGGATGGATGGATGAATGAATGAATGAATGAATTAGTGTTTTTATCTTCATCCAGGTATGCTAACTATCACAGACTTCATCAAGATACTCTACAGATACCATAGGGCTGGTGAGGTAAGTGATGATAATTGATATAAATTGAATGAGTGAATGAATGGGTGAATGAATGGATGAGTGAATGAATGAAAAAAAGAACGAATTAATGATCATTGATTAACTTTCAGATTGGAGTCGAAGATGTTGAAAATGACACCATCTGCAAGTGGAAATGTTTGTTTTATTATTATTATTATTAATTATTAATTGTTATTGTTATTATTTTTATTATTATTTATTAATTGTTATTATTATTTTCATTACTATTATTATTATTATTAATTATTATTGTTATGCATTTTTAGCATTGCTTATTATGATTGTAGTCTTGATCATCATCGTCGTCATTCGAATCGCTTTTTAAAATCATTACATTTCTCATGACCAACTCATCAGCTAACATTCAATCAATCATCAACCAATTCATCTATTCATTGGTCCATTCATTCATTCGATCATTCAACCAATCATCTACCGGGTAGTTTTATATTCAGCCAATCATAATCTATCAGCTAATTAGCATTAACCAATCATATTGACAGCTGTTTTTAATTCGAGCAATCTCATTAGCTGCTGTCCAGAGGATTCACTGTTTACAGCTTTGAAGCTACTCTGCCAAAATAGGGTGAGTGGCTATGATGTGATGGAGAAAGAGAAGAGAGCCAGAGAGAGAGAGAGAGAGAGAGAGAGAGAGAGAGAGAGAGAGAGAGAGAGAGAGAGAGAGAGAGAGAGAGAGAATGAGTGAAATTTGAATGAAGAGAGAGGGAAAGAGAGAGAGAGAAATAGAGTGATTTGATACGTATGAATTTGGATTGATGGTATAATGTTTATGATGACGTGATTAAAATCACCATGATGAATCAAGAATGACACTAGTGTTACGTTAATGATTACGATTACTAAGATGACGACGATTGTGGATTATGATGTCATTGTTGACGATAGCTATGCGAACGCACACAAACACACACACGCCCACACACACACGTATACGTACACACACGTACACAGACACACACGCACACAGACACACATACACATTTTTAGGTACATAGACTGCTTGTTATAGACAGCAAGTTAGGCAATCCAATCAACATCCTCACCCACAAGCGAATCCTGAAGTTCATTCACCTCCACGTACGTTTAATTGATTCCGTCGTCGTCATCATTTTTTTTCCTTGTCATCAGCACCGTCTTCTTCATCATCATCTTCTTTATCATCATCTTCTTTATCATCATCTTTTTCATCACCATCTTCTTCATCATCATCTTTTTCATCATCATCTTCTTTTTCACCATCTTCTTCATCATCATCTTCTTCATCGTCATTGTAGTAAGTACCCGCTTGTGAAAATATAATTTAAGAAGTCTGGCGCCTTTTGAAAGATTTTCATTTGATGAGATGAAGGAAAATTAAATAACGAAATAATTACTTTCCAATAATAACTTGCGTTTTCCTTTGGAATCCATCTTCTGTCACTCCACTGCAATCTTTGATGGGGTGTAAAATTTCGAATGATTTTTAAAATATCAACGAAGGACTCCCATCTATTTCCTTCCCGTTGAAAGTAAAGTTCTAAAAAAATTTTGATGACGTCATCTTCGTCAAGAAAAAAATGTTACTCTTTTTCCAACTCTTTTCGTCTCCGCACTGGATGGGATCATCTCGTAGTTTTGCAACAAGGGCATCTGCTTCGCTAGTTAAACATACACATCATCTCAGCAGTTCCTTGATGAAAGGAATTCAGTTGTACTTTTAAATACATCTGTGGAATATATATTTTCACATCTATCCAGTTTATCGGAGTGATACATCATTTTTTGGGTAGTAAATAAATGCCTCTTGCTAGAAACTTCGCATCGTCTTGTTGCTATTGCAGAATTGTCTCGAAACATAATCTCATCATCGCTATTATTATTATTATTATTATTTATTATTATTGTTATTATTGATGTTGTTGTTATTATTGTCATCAGATGAAAACAATCCCGGAGCCAGACTTTATGAACTCTCCCATCTCATCCATCCAAACTGCCACTACAAAAAATGTTTCCACGGTTGGTTGGTTGATTGAGTGGTTTATTTGATTGGTTGGTCACTGGTTAAATTCTTCCACGGGTGGTTGGTTAGCTGATTGGTTGGCTGATTGATTGATTGCTTAAGTGATTGGTTGGTCACTGGCTAAATGATTGGTCGGTTGATTGGTTAGATGTTTCGTAACAGTTTAGTTTTGTTTGACTGAGTTTCATGTAACTCCAATCATTGAACAATCAATCGGTCAATTAGACAGTCAATTAACTCATCAATCAACCAATCAATCAACCAATCAATCAACCAATCAACTAACCAATCAACCAATCAATCAACCAATCAATCAACCAATCAACCAACCAATCAGATAACGTACAGCACGAGACTGATAAACGTGCTGAGGTTATTCATAGAACACCACATCTCAGCCGTGCCTGTGGTTGACGAGCGTGGAAAGTTGATTGATGTCTTCGCTAAGTTCGATTTCTCAGTTAGTTAGTTTGTTTCTGTGTGTGTGTTTGTATGTTTGTCTGCGTTTGTATGTTTGTCTGTGTTTGTTTGTTTGTCTGTGTGTGTGTGTGGTGTGTGTGTGTAAGTGAGTTTAAAATGGCTCTTACATAAAGGCCCAGGATATGTGCGTGTTTGTATACATGTGTATGTGTATGCATGTTGGTATGTATGAATTTGTATGTTTAAATTAGTGTATGTATGTATGTATGTATGTATGTATGTATGTATGTATGTATGTATGTATGTATGTATGTATGTATGTATGTATGTATGTATGTATTTAGGTCCTCTTCTATTCATAATCTTCATGAACGATTTTCAACATGCAACTGATGCAAATCACCTTCTATATGCAGATGCCACTAACATCTTCTTCCCAACTAAAGACCCATTGAAAGAAGTAGAATACATCAATAAAAGTCTTCAAAATATATCAACCTGGTTTATCAAAAATAAATTAATAGTAAATTATTCTAAATGTAATTACATTATTTTTGGTCCGAAAATTTTAACAAATATTATACCTAACCTAGACATAAAAATGAACAATATTTCTATTCCTCGCTCAACCAGCGCAAAATTCCTTGGAGTAACAATCAAGGACAATCTTTCTTGGGATATTCACATAGATACTATGTCTAAAAGAATATGCAAAACCCTAGGAGTTATAAGCAAAATTAAAAATAAATTAAATAAACCCACTCTAATTGACCTGTATTATTCGTTAATCTTTCCTCACCTCATCTACTGCAACGTAATTTGGGGAAACAGTCCTGACATTCATCTAAAACAGTTAACAAAATGCCAAAACCGATTCATCAGAATATTTAAAAATCTTCATCCTCATTGTCACACAAGTGAATATTATCTCGAGATGAAAATACTCAACATCAAAAACTTGTTCATCTACCACGTTGCAACATTCATTTTTAGATTTCTACGTCAGCAATTGCCGGCATTTTTTAGAAACTTTTTCACTTTTGGAACTTCCATTCAAGCAAGAACTACACGCCACACGCCACTTTTCTATGCTCCACCAGCCAGAATTAAAGTACTCAGCATGAGTTTGAAACATACCGGCCCAGGAATATGGGAGACGATTCCACAAGAAATTAAAGATTGTAACACTTTGCATCTTTTTAAAAATAAACTGAAAAATTTTTTAATTACGAAAAGTTCTGTTTTTCAAGGATAATAATGTATATGTATATATATGTATATAAGTGTGTACATATTTCATTAACATTGATACATTTTCTCCTATTGACAATTTTATTTTATCATTGAGAAGCAATTTTGAGCTGCACGGTGGCCGAGCCCACAAGAATTAATTTTCTTTTTTTGGTCTCCGAATCATTCATGCTTTTGTTTTGTTTGATTGAATAAAAGTGATTTGATTTGATTTGATTTGTATGTATGTATGTATGTATGTATGTATGTTAAAACCAAAACATGATGTATGTATGTATGTATGTATGTATGTATGTATGTATGAATGAATGAATGTATGTATGCATGTATGTATGTATGTATGTATGTATGCATGTATGTATGTATGTATGTATGTATGTATGTTTTCTTCAAAAATGTTTGTATTTGTATGTATCGATAGAAACTGGCGTACGACAAGCTGTACAGTGACCTTGGCAGGCCCGTCAGAGAGATCATGAGTAAGCAGAAGAGTGAAGTGAGTTTGGTTTGTTGGTTTGGTGGTTGATTGGCTGGTTAATTGATTGGTTGGTTGATTGATTGGTTGGTTGATTGATTGGTTGATTGATTGATTGTTGATTGGTTGATTGATATGTCGATTGGCTTATTATATAATTTCCAAATTATTAAATATTTATCACATGGCCAAACATTTAATCAACCAACCAACCAATTAATCTATTAATATTTTATTCAATAAACCGATGAATTTTTGAACTAGTTAATTAATTAGCCAATCAATCAATCAATCAATCAACAACCCATCCCACAGAACTCTATGAACATGCACACATGCAAGCTAACAGATACGTTGAAGACTGTTGTCGACCGGATTGTTACTGCCTCTGTAAGTCTCCTTCTCTCTCTCTCTTCTCTCTCTCTTTCTCTTTCTCTCTCTCTCACACACACACACGCACACACAAACACAACATTAAAAATACTAATTATTATAATGATAATAAATAATAGCGACAAATGTCATTATGCCAGGTACATAGGTTGATTATTGTGAACGATGATGAGGAAGTTGTTGGCGTTCTTACGCTGTCTGATTTGCTGAGACATCTTGTGCTTATTCCTATAGGTCTGTTGGTTGTTTGGTCGGTTGGTCGGTCGGTTTGTTGGTTGGTTGGTTTGTTGGTTGGTCATTTGGCTGGCTGATTAAGCAATCCATTGGTAGATTTTACTTGATTGATTGATTTGATTTGTTGATTAAACGGTTGGTTGATTGAGCAAAACAAAACACCAAAAACCAATCAATCACAACAAAAAAAAACAATCAGTCACAACCAACCGAATAATCAATCAATCAATCAATCAACCAACCAATCACAGAAAACCATCCAACCAACAAGCATCCAATGAACGAAGAGAAACTAAAAAAGTTAATGCTCACCGGAACTAGCAGCGACGATAACGATCATCATCACCATCATCATCATCTTCTTCATCCCCATCGTCATCGTCACGGTGATGGAAATGATGACGAAGACGACGATGATGAAGAGTTTCACTCGGTTTTTGAGGACGGGTGTGGCGAGAATTGCGACTGCTTGGGCGACACTCATGGAGATGACAAGAGTAGTAGTAATGTTAGGAACGAGGGTGTCAAAAATGACGTGAAAACTGGTGACGACATTGGTGATTCAGTTGGTATGTGTGGTAGTGGTAGTGATGGCGGAGGCGCTGGTGGTAGTGGAGGCGCTGGTGGTGGCGGTGATATGTTGGCTTAGTTGTGTTTTTCAAATTCTGATAGATGGCTGAATGAAGGAAAGAGCTAACGTTATGAATGAATGAATGAATGTATGAATGAATGATTGATTTATTGATTGATTTGTTAAGTTAATGATAAAATGATTGAGTATTTAACTAAAAGAATGAATCAATTAATAAATGAATGAATCAATCAATCAATCAATCAATCAATCAATGATTCACATATATCTTGTTTTTTATAAAAAAAAAAACTTAGTTTATATAAAATTTTTTTATTGTTTGGCACAAAGGTGCGGTAAATTGTAAATAAACAACATATATATATATATATATATATATATATATATATATTTCAAACATAATTATATATATATATATAACGTTAAATTAGCTATAATGATAAAACTTAAACATTGTTTGTTTGTTAGTTTGTTATGAAAGGAGATTTTAGAATTAATTTAAATAAATGCATAATACATGTTTAATATATCAGAACTTTGTTTTTAGTGGTTTTAAATAAATGAATGGTATATATATAAATGAATGAATATATATATATATAGTATTGAATACTGTATAAAATATGGTCTGTCAATATATATATATATATATATATATATATATATATATATATAAATTACATATATATATTACTTATTAGTTACATTTCAATTTTTTATCTTGGCTTGCACGAATAGCAATGTTAATATATATTTTTTTTATAAATATATATATATATATATACATATATGTAATTTAATTTTTCTTTATATCCTACAAGTATTTCGGTTATTAAATAACTTATCATATCTATGTAGCTCTTTATAATTTATTTTCAACAGTAATCTTATTACTATGGTACTGATACTGAAACTTCTACTCCTGTACTTTGCTATGCCGTACTATATACTATTATTTCTTTGGTGCTATTGTTAGCATAGATATATTTGACATGAGTTTTTCACTGTCCTACTGTATTACTGCTCAAGATGATTTTATTTTCGTTGTTGTTTTTGCTATTGTTAATGTTTTTATTATTTATTTATTTTTTTATTATAATTATTATTTGTGGTTTACGTTGTTATATACTACTACTACTACTACTACTACTACTACTACTACTACTACTACTACTACTACTACTACTTATTACTGCTGCTGATTCCATATATTGTTGTTCAACGCAATGATTTATTATGCAACAACGACAGCAACAACAAAACAACATAAACAGTGATTTTAGCAGTTGTTACAACATTTAAAAGGTTTAAGAAGGTTAAAGGTTACACTCTCTTTTGCATTTGCTTCAGAGGTTTCAACGACAAACACACACAGCGTATATGAATGCGCGTGCAAACCACGCATCATACACATTGCATATGATAGGCGGGGATCTCTTTGTATTCGAACCCGGTCACTGCATCAGCAAGACCAGGCGCCTTTAACCATTGACCGACAACAACATCAACATTGATTATAGCAGTCATTACAACACCAACAACATATTTAGTCTATTCAATTATTTATTATGTGTTAATTTAATTGAATTATTTTTGTAAAAACATTTTTTATTTTATTTTTTTCGTCACAATATGCGATCTACTCGTGATGTTAATTACTAATTATAATTTAATATAATTGAAATGATTTTCATAGTTTAATTAATTAATTTAATCAATTAATTATTTAAATTTAATTAATAATTTAATATTTTTTACGTTTTGATTTAAAAAATTATTTGACAGCATTATACATACTACATAAAATAAATTGATGATAATTCGTACGAACAAAATATTTTAGCGTCTATTTATTTAAATATAGTATAAGGAAATATACATATATCCAAATATATATAAAGTATATACAAATACAAGTATACAAATCTATATATATATATATATACTATATATATATATATACTATATATATATATATATATAGAGAGAGAGAGATAGTATAAATTCTCTTTAACCTTTTAAGAAGTACTCTTCAATTTTACTTAGTGTACAATCCTTTATTGTACACATATGTGTGCCATTAGCTTGTAACGTATGTATATTCTTTTTATCTTTAGATTTGTTTTATCTTTAGATACATTTTATCTTTAGATGAATTCTATCTTTAGATATATTCTATCTTTAGATGTATTCTATTCTTAGATGAATTCTATCTTTAGATATATTCTATCTTTAGATACATTTTATCTTTAGAAAAATTCTATCTTTAGATATATTCTACCTTTAGATGTATTCTATATTTACATGAATTCTATCTTTATTCTATCTATCTATTATTTTCTAAATTTCTATTTAATTTAATTATTTTCTAAATTTCTATTAAATTTCTAATGTTCTAAATTCTATCTTTATTCTATCTTTAGATATATTCTATATTCACATGAATTCTATCTTTAGATGTATTTTATTCTTAGACATTTCCTTTTTCAGGATTGTTAGAACTTTTTTAAAATTTCAGACAATCATATTTCAGTTGGCAATTTTAAAAAATTTTAGTGGTGTCAAAGATGCTTTTTTTCAGTTTTTAAGACAAATGGTGATTTTTTTTATTGCGTGAATATGTAAAAGATGTTAATATTATTATGTGTAATGTTATCATTATTAATATTATTATTATTATTACTTAAATCGTTATTATTTTCGAAAGTTTTTTTTTATTTCCGTTATAAATTTATTTTTAATTCTAACAAAACTTGGGTACTCCTATAACATGCTATACAATATATAATGTCATTTTTCAAAATTCAAAATTGATATATTTGTTCGCGCACACACACACACACACACTCACACACACATATGTGTATATATATTTATATATACTTTGGGTTTAGACTATCCTAAATACAGATACGCCGAAAACGCAGTGATCTTCATAAATAATTGTGTTTATGATAGTCTAAACCCAAAATTTCGATCAAGGACATGGACTGGACTAAATGCGTCGTCACTGATGAAAGAAGTGACGTTAACTCTAATCTCAATAATGAACTTAGAGAAAAAAAACGCCTAAAACGCAGTGATCTTTATAAATATATATATATATATATATATATATATATATATATATATATATACACGTTTACTGCTAACTTTGGAGTTAATTGTTACCAAAAATCTCAATCAATCACCCGTCAATCAGTTCGATCATTAACTACACCACATGAATAACTTTTTCTTACGTTTTTTGTTTATTTAACACACACACGCGCGCGCGCGCGCAAACACACACGCATAAATATATATATTTTATATGTGTATATACGTTTTACTATTTTATTATTAGCTTAATTAATTTCACATTGTTTTAAACAATGAGTTTTTTTTTCTATTAAATATTTGTTCGTTGATTTTTAATGCGCGGAATGTTTTTAATTTGCCTTTAAACATAAATCATGGGAGTTAATTAATTAATTAATTATCTATTTAATTGAATATTTTATCCAAACTAATTTTCTTCCCTCGCTTTTGAACTGTCATCATCAGTGCGAATATCTTTAGCTAGATTACCTTCTCGTTATTGATGTTGTTGTTTTAACTATTATTAATGTAACTGTTAATGTAACTAATGTAGCATGTTATAACATGATATAACAATTTAAACTTTGAAAGGCAATATGCGTGTTGTAAGCCAAATATGTATGCATGATGTCTGATGTATGTTGTAATGTCTGTATATATATATATATATATATATATATATTTTTTGTAATTTTTGACTTGAAAGTTTGATGAAATAATAAAAAAAAGTTTAACAAAATTGAATGCCATGATCTCTAAGGAACCTCATCTGAATGTTTTAGCGGCTAGCAAACGGTTTTCACTTCGTAGGTTTAATTAAGTGCTTGCACATGAAATCGAAGTTATCTTTAATCTGACATGACGTTCGCCCCGAAATATTTTTGTTTTAAAGGATAATGTCCTTCAGCATATTCCAAAATATCTTTCATAACATGTTGAAAGATATAAAAACGTACCCACTTTTTACCTCATTTTTCGATTGAAAATGATTTGTTCTTACAAGCTAGAATCGTCCTTACTCTAAACTAGGTGACCACTTTTTGAACTTTTGTCATTTCTTTCAACATGGAAAATATATAAATTATTATATACAAATATATTCACAATATCTGAAGGACGAAAATATGCTAAAATAAAATTTGAAAAGAGAAATATGAAAGAATTGGTCGCAATGAACGAAATTAATTTCTCGTATCGGATCAGCCATCATCTGATTTAATCTTCTTAGCAGATGGTATCATTTCTTCATTAGCACCATCCTCTTCCTCATCTTCAGTCGATCGTTTTCCACTTCCTGTTTCCTGCTCCAGCATTCTTTTTTCGTGTAGTTTCTTTGCCCGTTCCCAGATGACATTCACTTCATTATCCACTTCCTTCAAATACCTTATGTACATGTTCCTCATCTCTATACAGTTGGCTCTTCCTGCACTTCTATATCTACTGAATGAGTAGTTTTCTTCCTGTTTGTACTCGCTGGTTGAAATTTCGTTTGTGGGATGACAACCTTGAATGTTGCAGTCGTGTTCTTTATCAGTGTGAAACTTCAGTTTTCGTCTGCATTTGAGGAAAGGACGCTTGCGGAACGAAATACTTTTTTTATTTTCTTTCATTTCGTGATAAACTTTTGAGATGGAGTATTCTTGATGTACAACGGCTTGGAGGCAAGTTTGTTTTTGTTCGCAGTCGAGTGAAGAATTTACTTCTTCGGTTGATGACATCTTTCTCAAAACTTTTTGCAGTTGTAGATGTAGATTTTGTGTAGATGGATTTTCAGGTATTTCTTGGTGTTGGTTTGTGGCAAAGTTCAAACTCTTATTTGGAAATTATGGCCTGTTTGACTTGCCAAATTGTTATTAAGTCTGAATCGAATTGAATTGTTTATCTTCAAATTTAAAGATCTCATAGAATTCTAGATGTCGTTGAATTCGAGTGATGCTTGTCTGTCGGCTTTCCGGAGATTTTGAACTATTGTTGTGCCAACCCTGCTTTTGTAGATATCTAAAAGCTAGTCAACTTATATGTATATATATCTACATACCCACATATATATATGTGTGTGTGGGTGGGTGTATGTGTGTTATATAACACCTTTCATTCATTTGCCAACCATGTTTTACGTTATTGACACTATGACACGTCATAAAATAATTATAACTAGACAGTGATTGATCGGTCAAAAAGGAAGGTGTGAACATTAGGTACACCAATTATGAACTTTGATGATGGGTTGACACGTATTGAATCTTCACAAAGAAATTAAATCGATATGATGTTGTTGTTGTTGTTGATGTTGTTGAGTGCTAGTTGTTGCGTCGGTGATGATGACAACGATGATGATGGGGATGTAATCTTGTCGTTTTTTCGATGTTGACGATTAAATTCCTTTGTAACGAACGTTGTAGGGCTATTAAGTTAGAAATTGAAAGGAATGCTTGAAAGTTATAATGAAGTTAATTATTTTTAACTATTACTGAATAGTCAATAGTCAATTTGTGTGTGTGTGTATGTATGTGTGTGTGTTTATGTATGTATGTGTGTGTGTGTGTGCGCGCGTGTGTGAAAATGATTTTACTGACGAATTTCACATAAATTTTATTTTATCGGCTAAATCAAAAATACCTGTTGAAGGATTAGATAAACCACTTGAAAATAAATCTCACCCGGTACTGATGATTGTGGTTTTTAGGACGTCTGATTAGTCAATTAATTAATTATTTGATTAATTGATAATTAATTGATTGGTTGGATGTTTTATAGCTGACAATATCGTTTATTTCCTGTTATATCTTTCTGATAATTTGTTATTTTCTTTGTTTGTTTTTCTAATCAATACTGGATACATATTTATGAATGTATGGATGGATGGATGGGCGGTTGGTTGGTTGGTTGGATGGATAGATGGATGATACATAGATACAGATGTGAATCTTTCAATAACAAATTTTGTCACCTGTTTGCAAAAAATGGCAAATATGTATATTATTTATAATAACTACTGAATTACCCATAAAAACTGAACTGTACTACATCACTTGGAAGAGTTTCTGTCGACAATATCAACACTCTTTATTTCACCAAAAATAAATGGATGACCAGTTTTTAATAATGACAATTTTAAACATGATTCAAGTTAGGACACCTAGCTTTAGTGTCATTCATTGATAGATAGAATCAGGAATATAGTGAATAAGTCAGAAATGTCAGAAATAACTTTAGTTCAATTTACCTTCCAAACAAACTTATGATTTTCTTGTTTTGGCAAAGTTTGTAACGAAAAGAAAAAGTTAGCGCGTACATTATTATAAATTGTATATTGTATATATCTAATATATATATATATATATATTTTATATAAATAAATATATATATAAAAACTGTTAGAATATTTATAGTTTTTTTACTTTTATAATTTTCCTGTTAATTTTTGTGCTAACTTAAATTGCAGAAATGATAAAGTAAACAAATATATTTTTTTTTATTTAGTTGCCTTAAAATAGTTTCATAAAGTAAAATTTGCGTAAAATGAGAAAAAGACAATAAAATTAAAAAGGTGAAATAATGAATTTCAAAGCGTACTTCATTTGGGGATGCGGCTTGTTATTTTTCCTGTTCGTGAACTTACGACTGGACGAGAAGGTTCTATGGTCGTGGTTCGTCGTCTTCGTTCCCATGTGGAACATGGACGCCATCATCATTTTTCTGCCGCTCTTCTTTTTCATCAAACAACGAAGGAGATGGAAGTCACATGACCTCTTAAAATTTGTAGGTGTCTGCCTGCTTCGTTTTGCCTCTCACTACTAATCCTAATACTAAATACATAATATAATTATAATAAATAATACTACTACTACTAATTATTATACTACTACTTTATATATATTTTTTGTTGGTTGCTGATTATTGGTGTTTTTTATTCATTGCACTGCTCTCTTTACCTTTATTTTACATTTAGTTTCTTTAGTTGCACTGGCATAGCTAACTTAGTAAAAGTAAACCCATGGTGTTGATGAACTATTTGAACTTGTAACATTTTAAATTTATTTAAGTTAGTGAGATTGTTTCAACTATTTTTTTAACTAAAATCTTAAAATAAAGTACTGCCAGATTTAATATTATAATTAGTAGTTTCAGTGTGCAGTAAAGGATCTGTTTTGTATATTATTGATGTTCAGCTAGCAACCATCACTTGACTAGTAAATAGCTTCACTGTAATTTTTTTTCTCAAATCAATCTTACATTTGTTTATTACTGAATCTATATCTTAAGAACAAATTTATCGGTTAATTTATAATTTTATATCAATTGGTTGGTTAAAACATAACCACCGAAAACAGGCATTCTACATTGTAATGGTCCTACTAAAAGTCACAGCCCAACTCTTAATATGCTTAAGGTTGGAGGGTTACAAAATCCGATCATACTACGTCATGGCACCCGTCTGGGTCTGCCTCTCTGCCCTCTCGTTCGACCTTGCCACTTTCCTAAGAGCCCACTGGAAGATGATGGCTGCTGCTGCAGAAAATTTGGCTTGTCCTGCACTGTTAACACGTTCATAGTATATAAATACACACACACACACACACACACATAAATATTTGTATACATGTATGCGTGTGTTTTATGTGTGTTCTACTCTTCATGAGTTGTTAACTTTATTTGGCTGATTATGATGAGATAAAAACTTTCATTAACTTTTCTCAATAAAAATGTTTTTAAAATGAGAATGTTCTAAGCTTGGAGTAATAAAATTGATTGAAATATGAATTGTGGTGGACTGTGGCGTGGAGTGGAATCATCTACCTACCTACCTACAACTAGAACGTTCATATATACATGTCACCTTTTCACACTGATTTGATAACAGTGTGATTGTATGAATGGATGAACAAATAAAACGAACTGATTAATTAATGAATGAATAAATGAATGGATGGATGTTTGATATACGCATTGACAATACAATGTACTTAATGTTTCATGTAGTGCAGTTTAATGTAGCCCCTTTCTCACTCTCTCCTTCCTTCTTTCTCCTCTCTCTCTCTCTTCTCTCTCTCTCACACATACATTCATTGATGTTTTCTTATGTGAAATTAAATGCACAGGCGTAAAAGTTGTTGTCTCCATCTTTAATCCTAAACTCTATGCGACCTGCAAAAAGAAACAAGATGTGCGTTTGCGTTTGTCTCTCTCTCTCTCAATTAATTAATTAAATAAATCAATTAATTGACTAATTGATTAATTAATTAATTAGTTGATTGATTAAACCATAAAATTTTCAAATAAAACAAAATCATATTCAGCAAAGTTGTTCATCTATTTGTTATTTGTAGACATGTGCTAACAGAAATGTTTCAATATCATAACAAATTCGTTAGTTTATCATCGTACAGCGTTAAAATTGATTACAGTAAAATTATTAGTTAATTAATTAATCAACCAATCAGTTTTGTGTGCATCTATCAATTATGGTGAACATTAAATGACTAAGGTAAATTAAAATACATTAAGATTTGCCTGAACGTACGTACGTACATACAAATATACATACATATAAATACATACATTCATACAACATACATAAAAAAATAAATAAATACATACATACATACAAAAATAAATACATATATGCATACATACGCACGGATTTATAGACAATGTCTTTAAACAATACATCAACGAATATGTAATTGCATTTCAGAAAAAAGGCTTATCATTATTAAATCTATAATTGAATTAATTTAGCGAATAATAGGTAATTAAATTATTTCGGACATCAAAAAATGAATGAATGAATAAGCATATAAATAAACGAATGAATGAATGAAAAAATGAACGTATGACAAATTGAATGAATAAGATACTCAGTTTTTTTAAAAGGGCTAAACATTAAGAGGCTAGGAAAAATTGTTATAAATTAATTAAAAACACATAAAAAGCACATATAAATAATATATTTTCGCACATAAATACGTATATGTATATATATATGTGTGTGTGTGTGTGTGCGTGCGTGTGTGCGGTGTATAACATATAAAACATACACACGGAAACATGTATATACACATAGTGAAAAAGTGTTTAACCGTTTAAGGTCAATAAACTAAGCTAAACGAACGCGGAGTAGATTTTTTTATTATTTTTGGTCACAAGAAAACTTGAAAAAAAATATTCGTTAAACAGCTACAATATGCAAAATAGTTCAAAAGAGAGAATTCCAATCAAAATGAATGAGTGAATGTTTTTTTTCCATATAATTTCTCGCCTAACTAAATAACATGACGTCATCAATATACAAACGTGTAACCGTTAAAAACAAAACAAGCTTATACAGACAAATGAATACAAATAAAAACTTGAACACATAAACAAAAGATTAGGTATACCCATAGACAAACATATTAACGATCACATGGATCTATGCGGTACGGAGTCAGAGAAAAGGAAAAAGAAAGACAAACAGACAGACGGAGAGGGAGAAAGAGGGAGAGAGAGAAAGAAAGCGTGAAAGAGAGAAACAATGGAAAAGAGGAAGAGAAAAAAAAACAATGGAGAAAGAAAGGAAGAGAGAGAGAGAGAGAGACAGAGGAACCCAAAACACAGAAACGGAAATACGCATAGACAGAAAAAATATAAATAACATCAGCTGCGAAAAACAGAAATATAGATGTTTTCAATCTTAATGCTACGACCTTCGTTACTATGGTTATGGTATGACATCAGGATAGAAAGATTATAAATATAAACAAACAGTTACGTCAGCGTTACTTCATAAAAGTGACGATAAAAACACGCAGCACGTATGTGTATACAATGATGTATAAATTATATGAAAATATAAATGTAATAAAAATATATTACGTTGTGTGTGTGTGTGTGTGTGTGTGTGTGTGTTAGACAAGGTTTTGTATATATAATATGAAAGTATTTAATATATATTGATGTGAGGTAAAAAAGAACACTGCATATTATTAAAGACAGGTGCAACGTGAATGAAATTCGAATTGTTATTATTATTAATATTATTTATTTATTTATTTATTACATTCTCTTTTGGACTGCCGAACGAGTTTACGAGAATAGATGAACAAAAATTCCTCTGGAAAACCTTCTTTTAAAGTTATATACCAAAATAGGAAAGAAGTAAGAAAAAAAGGATAGATGGATCGATTGAACGAATGAATGAATGGGTGGGTGATTGATTGATTGAATGAATAAATGGAAGGGTGATTGATTAATTGAATGAATGAATGAATGATTGAATAGATAAATAGATGAATAATTTATACAAAACGCAGCAATTTTTTAAATCACGAAAAATGGCAAAGATTTTTTTCAAAGGATGATACCGATGTAGTGTAAAAAAATAAAATCTAATTATGAAAAATTTAAAAACAAAGTTTAAGTTCAAAGCGAATTCAAACAAAGTTTTTCCGGCCAAAAATGAAAAAAAAAGCTGAATGCAAAGTTGGCAAAAAGAAAAAAAATGTAAACTTTAAATAAACGAAAAAGACAAATGTCGTACATACATACATACATACATACATACATACATACATACATACATACATACATACATACATACACACATACATACATACATACATACATACATACATACATACATACATACATTCATTTATTTATTAGTTATCAAATTTTAAAATGAGTCTTCGAAAAAATAAATAAAAAATACAAGAGAGAAAGGAAGCAAAAAAAATTTTACCACCTAAATACGCTAGTAAAACGACAACAAAATAATAATAATAAACACTCATATAACATTTATAGTGAAAATGCGAATAACGACGATGATTTTGATATTATTACAACAATAATTCGATCAACGTATCATTCATTCACTCACTCACTCATTCATTCACTCATTCATTCATTCATTCATTCATTCATTCATTCATTCATTCATTCATTCATTCATTCATTCATTCATTCATTCACCAATATAAATAATATACCGTTTTTTACATCATTCCGTATAATTATTAATTAATATTAACAGTGAAAATATCTTGACAATAAAAAAAATAAACGTATTATTATAATTGTAGTAGTAGCAGTAGCCGTAGTAGCAGCAGTAGTAGTAGCAGTAGTAATTGCAGTGGTTGTAGTAGCAGTAGTAGTTGCAGTAGCAGTAGTAGTAGTGGTAGCAGTAGTAATAGTAGTAGCAGTAGTAGTAGTAGCAGTTGTAGTAGCAGTATTAGCAGCAGCAGTAGTAGTAGTAATAGCAGCAGTAGCAGTAGTAGTAGTAATAGTAATAATAGTAATAGTACTAGTAGTAGCAGCAGTAGCATTAATATTATAAACTGACACTGAATACTATTTAATAAGTAGAATACTAATGAGTAATAAGATAAGTTTTGGTATTAGTAATTAACGAGATAGAGAGGTTAAATCAATTTATGCATATGATATCTGATATGTTAGTTACTTTGACTTTTTGCTTATAGGCACGCACGCACACGCACACACACACACACACACACACAATCACACACACACATAAACTAACACACACACACGCACACTAAAAAATTTTTTATTCATTAAATATACATAAAAAGTTTCTCTGTACAGATTACAAATTAGTCTATTTACACGCAAAGAGGATTTAAAATTATGTTCAAAAAAATAGAAGATAAAATTGATATTATATAAATATAAAAATAAATAAATAGCTAAAATAATAATACTAATTATTATTATAATAATAAATAATATAATTATTTATATTTTTACAGCTGTTCTTGGTCGCCAGGTGTCAGAAAAGATCTGACCCTTTTAACTGAGTTGTTAATGAATTTGTTGTTTCGCACTTGTTGCACGAACGAATCGCGTTTCTTTATCGATGTTGACGGTTTTAGATTTGTGGCTGTTGTTGCTGCTGCTAAGCTGCTATCAGCTGTGGCTAGGCTGCTACCAGCTGCTGCTATGCTACTATCAGCAGCTGCTGTGGTAGATGTTGTTGCTGCTACTGTGATATCAAACGATATTGGTGGGAGTTCTGTTGATTTTGTCCAGAATGATGTCGAGAAGAGGTCGTGCGGTGAAGTAGGTGGTGGCTGTTGTGTGGCTGTTGTGGTGTCGTCGTATTTTGATGTGGCCGCTGCTGCTTCTGCTGTTGCTGTTGATGTCGCTGGAGGCGACGACGATGATATTAACGTTGACGTTCGTGTGCTTGCAAATGATGATGATGATGATGGTTGAGGTGGGATAGTTACTAAAGACGGTGACTGTGATGATGTTGCTGAAGTTGATATAGACGCTAATTTAGTGGACGCTAGAAATGCAGTAGTGGTTTTTGTCGAAGCTAGTGCTGCAACTGCTACTGTGGTTGTTGTAGTTGCGGCTGTTGTTGCTGGACGAGAAAATACTGTTCTCCAGTCAGCTGTTGTTGAAGCAGTCGTGGGTAGAGTTGTGATGGGTCTTAGTGGAAAAAATGATAGCGACGTAGTTGACGGCATGGTAGATTTGAAAGGGAACGACGATGGTGAAGATGATGCAGCTGTTGATGACGTAGATGATGACGATGTGATCGACTTGAGAGGATAGGATGACGGGGCAGGTGATGGTGAAGATGACGGCAATGTGGCTAAGAATGGATTCGTTGCTATGGGGAGTGTTGTCCCTTTTAATGTTGTTGTTGCTGTTGTTGTTGCTGCTGCTGTGTG